ATCAAAATTTTCTTATCTAACACTTGAACTATCATTCATTGCAAGTTATTGAAGGTTAGCCTCTTTTGATACTTAATTGATTTATATCATTTATTAAGAAAGACGTTTCAATTGTAAAAAAAAATATTCAAATTTGTGTGTCATATTGAGATCACTTGACTGTTCAATAGGTTGGGTCATATTGAGATCATATAAAGTTCAATATTGTATAAGGATCGATAGTTCTTGTTTGTAAGTTATCGAAAGTATTGTAAGAGTTTGGATTGTACCATAAGTCAATCAATAGAATGAAAATGCTTTACTCGTAATGGAGAGTTTAGTAATGGAGGAGAAGGCCTCTTAATGGTAGAAGGCCTATGTGAGTGTAGAGGACCTCATAGTGGTAGGCGACCTCATGGGGATCGACGGCCTTATGGTGGTAGACGGCCTCATGGTGGTAGACGTCATATGTGAGTGTAGAGGCCTCATGGTGGTAGGCTACCTCATGGTGGTCGACGGCCTCATGGTGGTATAGACAGCATAAGTGAACATAGAGGGTTTCTTGGGGGTTGACGACCTATGTGAACGTAGAAGACCTCATAGTGGTAGACAGCTTGTAGGGGTAGACGGCCTATCATGTGATGCTCTACGTGGAGTGCATATCAAGTAGTTTTCACCTCATTGGCCATAGTGGATAATTATTAATTCCATCCCGTATTATTGGAGATTATGAAACAGCAAAAATATAATAGGTGTTCATCTGTTCTTGATTAATATAGGTGGTTGATTAGGGACAAAGCATTGCTAATAAGTTTTTGCACTCCAGTGATGCCGCTTCTGATCTTCTTCTTCACAATGGGATTCACTCTCTGGCCTGAAAACCCGTCCATGCATGAATCAATATTAGTTATAGCCACACTAGCCCATGTCTTGGTATTAGCTCGCTGGAATTCCTTGTCGGGATCATTGAGATGTCTCATGGCATTCAGTGTCTACTTAAGTTCATAAACGGTGTCTTTCATATCACCAATGCAATCTTTGATGGCCTTTGCCTCGTAATGCGCTATCCCATTTTGCTTCACTATCTTTGACACGATGGCTGAGGTCATGAACGGAGCCAGCCCATCGAAGTAGGGGGATCCAAGAGTTGAAGAGGTGGGGGCCCAAGGGGGTTCGTGGGCAGTGCCCTTGAGTTTTTTTTTTTAAATATTATCTCTTAAAATAAGAGAAGTTGGTACTTTGTGATGGAGAAAGTAATGTACATTATTAACAAAATAAATCAAGAAAAGTAAAAAAAAAAGTACTAATATTTAATTTAACAAAATCATACCTCATTACAAGTGTTCCTTTCGAGTTCTCATACTTTGATAACATTGTATAACTATATCATCATCAATCATGTTGAATACATCCTTCTCAATATATACAAGCAAGCTATCATTTAACCATTTATCATTCATTCGCTTGCGCAATCGATTCTTGACATAATTCATTACAGAAAATACCCTCTCTACCGTAGCAGTAGCAATTGAAAGAATTAATGTCAATGTCAAAAGTTNTCGAAAATGATAACACTGATATCCCCAAAAAAACCAAGGAAGGCGATGAAAAATCAAAAATTTGAAAGAAGGTGAAAACAAAACAAAGATCGAGGGAACCCACCCAAAACCCGAGCCTTTCCACAGCGAGAATCAACCCAGAAAACGAAAAAAAATCGAAAATTACAACACTGACAACTCGAAGAAAGGAAACAAAAGGCAGACAACGACTAAACAAAGCCAGATCGACCCAACGAAGGCGACGAAAACCAATTTTTCCGAAAATGATAGCACTGATATCCCGCAAAAACCAACAAAAGGCACGCGACGATTAAACAAAGGTAGATCGACCCAAGTGAGGAGACGAAAAATCAAAAATTTGAAAGAATGAACAAGGATCGAAGAACCCACCCAAGACCCAAGCCCTTTCACAGCGAGAATCAACCCAGGAAACGAAAAAAATTCGAAAATTACAACACTGATATAACTTGAAAAAAGGCAACAAAAGGCAGAAAACGACTAAACAAAGCCAGATCGACCCAACGAAGGCGAAGACAACAAAAAAATTAAAAGCAGTTGAAAAAAAAATCGAAAGAAAAAAAACCAAAAGAAAAAAAAAAACCAAAGACGGGTAGATCGACGAGGATGAGCAGACCTCGTTGACGACGACGAAGGGACAGATTTGCGGGATTTACCAGATGAACGACCAAGAAGAGACGGCGAAGAAGAGTTTTCAACGAAGAGAGACGGAGAGATCGTGAAGAAAAAACCCTAAGACGAAAAGGTCGCATTATTGGAAGTGTAAAAATATCAACCAACCAAACGACGTCGTTCCGCCAGGCAGTGTCGTTTCGAGCAGACCATAATTTCTACAGTGACAAGCCTCCTCACTCTTTTTATATGTGTAGGAAATTGAAAAGAACATAGTAGAAGAAAATTTTGAATGAAGAAAAAGAAGTTTAACATCAGAATTATTTTACTTGCCAAAATGCAACTTTATAAATCAAAAGAAGATAATGACTACCAAAATTACATTTTGAACGAAAATAGAATTATATACAAACATTCCACAACGGGATAATAGTCCAAACGATCACTAAACTTTGTAAAATGTCCAAAAAGGGTAATTGAACTTTAAAAACCACCAAATTCATCACAAAACTTTGCATTTTGTAATCTCAGTAGTCACTGAGCTCAAATTCCATTCAAAAATGGCGAAGTGTTGATGTGGGTACATGCGTGACTTGATTTGTCAGTNNTACATGCGTGACTTGATTTGTCAGTTGTTGAGTGCCAAATCAGATACACATTTGAATCTTATTAATTAAAACACTTTTAAAAACAATAATATTGAATCAAACCATCTCTCTCACATTCAGGGAAGAAAATCCCCCCAAATTTGGATATGAAACGGTGACCATTGAAGTTTCTTGGTATGGGTGCAGCACTCACCAGCTTAGATCAACTCATCGATTTCTTGATTTGGTGGGAACAATGAATAAATTTGAAGGTCATGGAAATGCTGAGAGTGCTCAGTTCTAATGATTCTCTCTACGCTAGAGATGTTAGTGTCCCACTTGACACAGCATTTACTAGTTCTTGGCAGCTGAGATTATTGGTTGATGTCAAAGCTCCGTTCTATTCACTGCTGAGATTATTGGTTTGATGTCAAAGCTCCGTTCTATTCACTGCTGAGATTATTGGTTTGTGGTCAATTTGATTAAGGAAAGGTTATGTTGTTGTTGCATTGGTAGTGTTGGGTAGTTTTACGTCTACGACAGGGATGTGGGGAAGGCGGCGGAGGCGAATGGTGGCGGCTGTCAAAGGCGGCGATGGGAGTGGGTTGATTCTTTTTTTTTTTATTTTTTTAACGTGTTTTAATTTATAAAATCCATGTATGTAGCTAATTTGGCACTTAGCAATTGACACATCAAGCTACGTATGCAACCACGTCAGCTTCCGTCAATTTTTGGTTGGAATTTGAGTTTAGTGACTAACAAGATTACAAAATGCAAAGCTTAGTGATAAATAATGTGGTTTTTAAAGTTTGGTGACCCCTTGTAGACCTTTTTGCTAAATTCAATGACCATTTGAACTATTATCCCTTCTAGAACAAATAGATTGTGAAGTTTCTCATCTCTCTCTTGATACTCAACTTATTGTTATTATTCATAAAAGATGGATATATCTTATATTGCGTTTATTTCTTCTACTTTTATATAATTAAAACTTTGATTGATTAAATTAAACGTTTGAAATCAGCATATTCTAGTTTTAAAAGAATAGATTGTGAAAAACTATCATTCATTGCAAGTTATTGAAGGTTAGCCTCTTTTGATACTTAATTGATTTGTATCATTTATTAAGAAAGACGTTTCAATTGTAAAAAAAATATTCAAATTTGTGTGTCATATTGAGACCACTTGATTGTTCAATAGGTTGGGTCATATTGAGATCATATAAAGTTCAATGTTTTATAAGGATTGATATTTCTTGTTTGTAAGTTATCGAAAGTATTGTAAGAGTTTGGATTGTACCATAAGTCAATCACTAGAATGAAAATGCTTTACTCGTAATGGAGAGTTTAGTAATGGAGGAGAAGGCCTCTTAATGGTAGAAGGCCTACGTGAGTGTAGAGGACCTCATAGTGGTAGGCGACCTCATGGGGATCGACGGTCTCATGGTGGTAAACGTCATATGTGAACGTAGAGGGCCTCATGGTGGTAGGTGACCTCATGGTGGTCGACGGCCTCATAGTGGTAGACAGCATAAGTGAACATAGAGGGTCTCTTGGGGGTTGACGACCTATGTGAACGTAGAAGATCTCATAGTGGTAGACAGCTTGTACGGGTAGATGGCCCATCATGTGATGCTCTACGTGGAGTGCATATCAAGTAGTTCTCACCTCATTGGCCATAGTGGATAATTATTAATTCCATCCTGTATCATTGGAGATTATGAAACAACAAAAATATTATAGGTGTTCATATGTTCTTGATTAATATAGGTGGTTGATTAGGGACAAAGCATTGCTAATAAGTTTTTGCACTCCAGTGATGCCGCTTCTAACCTTCTTCTTCACAATGGGATTCACTCTCCGGCCTGAAAACCCGTCCATGCATGAATCAATATTAGTTATAGCCGCACTAGCCCATGTCTTGGTATTAGCTCGCTGGAATTCCTTGTCGGGATCATTGAGATGTCCCATGGCATTGAGTGTCTGCTTAAGTTCATAAACTCTGTCTTTCATATCACAAATGCAATCTCTAATGGCCTTTGCCTCGTAACGCGCTATCCCATTTTGCTTCACTATCTTTGACACGATAGTTGAGGTCATGAACGGAGCCAGCCCATCGAAGTAGGGGGATCGAAGAGTTGAAGGGGTGGGGGCCCAAGGGGGTTTGTGGGCAGTGCCCTCGAGTTTTTTTTTTTGAAACATTATCTCTTAAAATGAGAGAAGTTGGTACTTTNTTCCTTTCGAGTTTTCATACTTTGATAACGTTGTATAACTATATCATCATCAATCATGTCGAATACATTCTTCTCAATATACACAAGCAAGCTATCATTTAACCATTTATCATTCATTCGATTGCGCAATCGATTCTTGACATAATTCATTACAAAAAATACCCTCTTTACAGTAGCAGTAGCAACTGTAAGAATTAATGCTAATGTCAAAAGCTTATATACTAACGGGTATATTTCATTTTTTTTGTCACAACCAACTTTAACCAACTTTTGTGAAGAGGAAATGGGAGTCATGACTGAAATGCTTGGATTTGGATTGGAAGGGTTTAAGTTTTTTATTCATTTCAGGACAAAATGTAAATACAAAAAATAAAATTTTAAAATAAAAAAAAAATTGTCAAAAAATTGGGGGGGTCCGGGTCCCCCCCAGGACCTCCTCGCCCTCCGCCCCTGGCTGAGGTGTTGTGTGCTGCCAGTATAGCTACCTTGAGGGCTGCGTTGCATAGTTTCAAGGGTTTGGTACCCACCGAGGGGGTGTAAGGGGTGAGAGTCTTGATGCAGAGTGGGCGATATGTTATGTTATTGCATGATTTGGTGGTGAAATTTGTGCATGTTTGTAGCACTCTGGAAGGTGAGGCACATTGTGCCAAGGAGATAAATAGAAAATTTGTGATGACTCTCAAAACTTGGTTAGAAGACAACTTTGTGCATGCAAACACTGCCATCTCTCTCTCTCTGAGTCTCTCTTAAAGAACATGCAAAATGTATTGATGATGAAATTTAGATCCATGAAAGAATTCATAAGGCTGATAGATTGATTGGTGCAGTATACACAATAATTCGAAAGCACATGCAGATGAGTTGTGTGAATGAATGATATATGGACACATTTTGCGGCTACATTCTGTTGCGATCATATGCCAAACATTAAGTTCATGTACAAATCCAGAAAAAATGGTCTATTTATCCCATTATAATGATCTCATAATATTATATTAAATTAGAGGGTCGACAGTTTAAAAATTCAATAGTGAATAAGAAAATTACAAATAATTAGAAATTTAGAACCATGGGCGGACGCAGGGGTGGCCTGGGTTCACGTGACCCCAACTTTGCTCCCTTTTTTTCACAATTAAATTTTCTATGTTATTGTTTCAATTTCGAAGTTACTACAGGATGTGAAACGAAATCGAAATATTGCATTCTTAATACCTTTCGACGTGCTCACGGTCTAGTTTTCTACGTCGTTAATGGCATACGAAACGATCAATCTAGCAAATGTTATGACTTACATTCAAGATTAGTATTTCGAAAATTTCGATAACATGCTAACTTTAAAAATTCTCCGACGATCGCAAGTTAATCGAATATACAAATTGCATATATCATCTCAAAACTTATTTCGAGAACTATATTATAGGTATATCGAATAGTCTAAACAGATATCGAAAATAGTTAAAGATGCGTTAACCGTGAGTTTTACAAAAATGCGTCTAACTCGTATTTTCTTTAAAAAATTCAATTATTTCATTAACATTTATTATTTTGGCGATACAAAGTTCTCAATGTAATTTTCATCATTTTATTAGGAAATTTTATATGGAATACGAATCAAAAATTTTCGAAATTTTACATCTGCAAAAATCATATTCGATGTAAATTTTCAGATGCAAAATTATATGAGGTATGATTTTTTTGGACGTAAATTTTTTATTGTAAAATTTCAAACTTTAAATTTCTGTATTCATCTCTGATTAGACCCAATTACAAAGCACAAATTAGAAGCCGTAAAGATGAAGACAACCACAATACCTAAAAGGTGGTGGCATGGCGTGAAATTGGGTTCTATTTTTCTCAATTCACGACATTATTTTTATTTCCTATATTTTGTCAAGTCAATTTATTATTTATTTTATTTTATTTTTGTACAGTGAAATAATATTGTAATATTCATCAACTTTAAAATGTATATATAATCTAATAAATTATCATAAAATTATTTCTAAAAATTCCAAATAGAACGTGTTTTTCAGTTTTCAGTTTTGGATAACAATTTTCCAGAATGACAAATCATATGCATTTTCTGCAATTTTAAAACAGACATTCATAACAAAAAAAAGTAAAAACAAATTAAAATTGAAACGCAAATCAAATTTCCTGTGCAGCAATAGGAATTGAACAAAGTTCAAAGCTTAATCTCTTTTTTCTAGCTAAAATTTTGGATCAAATATGTTCAACTATTAAATAAATCATTCTTGAGTATGTGAGTAAGAATCCATATAGTTGCATTCAAAGAGTGGAAGATGACGATCAAGCACGAAAATCTTCAGAAATATCTAATTAAATATAAAAGAGGCAGTTATGGGTACTATTCACAAACCGTGAGCCTAGCCGAGCCAAATGGCTTTACGATTCTCTGCTTGGCTCGGCTATTTTTTTTTTTTTTTTTTACGTTTGATTCAGTATTTTTAGTTACAAATATTCGTTTTAAGCGATTTAAAATTTGTTAGAAATGTTGAAGTGCAACCATGATAAATATATGATCGATAAATTCTAAATATCAAAATTTGAAGTGCGGCCATGATAAATATATGATCGATAAATTTTAAATATCAAAGTAATTTTACATTAATTATGAAATGTAAAATCGTGATTGTTCATATTTCTTTTCAATCCCAAACTCATTTCAATGTCCTTTTTTTGAACTTT